CCAATATAGAAGACCCTAACCCTAAATTAATCAAAAAAATTATTAAATATAAGTTGCCTCCGCTTTAGACGTCCCCTTATTTGGGACGGTCCTACCTGTATTTCATTTAGACATTACAGTAATTAAAAATGTATATAGTTTTCGATAATAAGATTTTCGGCCGATATAAGATTATACCGAAGTGATATACCAGCCGAAAATTATATTATCGAAAACGCATCTTTCCCATGGGCTAGCCCATTTTCCCACGCTCATTAGACATAGGAATTTATTAAATGACGCATGATGACTTGGAAATTTACATATTAAATAGTCAAATTTTTCAAATTTTGAAGTATATAGTTCGCAATAATGTTATATAAAGAGTTAAGTTTTTGATTATAATAATCATATATATACTATAAAATGCTAATATAATTAAAAAAAAAATCTATAAATTTATTTAAAATATTTTTATTTTTAATTTTACGATAAAAATATAAGAAATTAAACTTTTGTGCAAACTTTCCAAAGTTTACACTTGTTTTTATTGTTACTTTTATTATTATATCTTTAAAGATTATATATAATCTAAAAAAAATTGTTTGTAAAAAGGTAATTGTTCTTGTATAAATAAACTACACAACAAATAATTGGCATACAAATATAAGTAAATATTAAACTTCAAATACACATCAAAAATTCTACATTATAAATCATATATAAATAATAAAAAGATAATAAATAAATAAGTATATATTATTAAATTATTTTCGATTAGCTGCCGCTACTTTTTGTACTTCTTCCAATGCTGCAATCATATCTTCATATTGATCTCTACTTTCATTGTCCATTCCATTTGGCAATTTATTCCATTTTTGATTAATATAACCAACATCAGAATATTCATCATCATAATTCATATTTCCCCACCGATTTAAAGCATCGAGTTCATCATCAAGTTTATTTGTCATAGAATGAATTATGTTTGAGTCCCTTGGACTCGATTTTATACCATCCTCAATTACACGATAATTGTCCACTGCATGTTCCATTTGATCAAGTAATAATGATATTTTATTCTCTGATTCATGTAATTTTTGTTCAAAGTCTATATTTTCTCTTTCAAGTTTTTTGTTTGTTTCATGAAGTTGTGCAATTTGCCTTTCGAGTACACCACGTTGTTCATCCCATCTCTCATGATGTCTAGACCTACCATTAGATGAAATATTATCACCCATTCTACCCGAGTCATCGCCAAGTTGCTGATTTAAGTGTTCATTCAATGCCATCGAGTTATCTAACTCTTTTTTAAGTTGTTCTACTTTATTTGTAGAAAGTAGAAGTTGTTCTTTAAGCGCCTGATTTGTTTGCCTTAAGGCGTTGTGATCCTTCTGCATTGTCTTGTATTCTTTGCGTAAAGCTTCATATGAAATGTCCAACATTTTCTTCTCTTCTCGTGCATGATCAATTTGTACAATCAAATCTTTCATTTTTTGTTGCACTTCAGTCATTTCTTGACCAAATTCTTCTGCCTGAACTTCAAGCTGTTTATTGGTAAATTCCTGAAGTTTTGATTCACGAACACCTTTGCGTACAGACACTTGGTTTTGGACCTCTGAAAGTTTTTCTTCCAACTCTTCATTTCGTTCCTGAGCGGCCTTCAGTTGCTTTTGTAAATTCTCTGAATCAATTTTACTTCTATGCAATTCTTCTTTTAGTCGCCTTAACATCTTTTCCGTCCCTTGTACATAATGAGTTGCAGTATTATAATTTAATTCTGCTTTTACCAATTTATCTTGGGCTTCTTGAAGTTTTTGTAGAGTTTCAGACAATTTTTTTTCAGTTTCTCTTGAATCATTTTCATTCTTAGGTGATAAAGAATCTTGGTTGAGACCTCTGCCATTCATACGTTTAAGCTCTTCTTCTAAAAGTTTCCTTTTATCTTCTTCATGTTGTGCTCTTTGTTCTAATTCTTCACATTTTGATATTAGTTCTTTATATTGTGAAGCTAATGTTCCTTGACTTGTAACATCTTCCAGTATACCTCTTTCAACCATTACATCTCTCATCATTCCAACTTTGATTTCAGCATCTTCAAGAGCACACGTTTTTTCATCTAAAGTACGTTCTTTTTCACGTAATCTTCCTTTTGTACGTATTACTTCATCTGAAGACTCTGCTAACCTCCGCTGTAGCATTGCAGTTTCAGAACGTGCTTTAGTAAGTGCAGATTCCAATTGTACGATCTTATCCATAGCATTTGCAAGTGAGATTGAAGCTTTTTCGGCTGATTCTTTTGTTTCAGCGTTCATATTTTTTAATGTTTCTATTTCTTGTTCAAGATGAATTACTTGACTTGAAACTCGAGTTGGAACAGATAAATCTTCATTAGGACGAGAATTGTTCAATAATTTTGTCATTCCATCTTTCATCATATCTCGAACAGCATCCCGTTCTTGTCGAGTTTTATCTAATAATCGTTCCATCTCTGCTGCCCTAGCACCAACACGATCTAAATCTCTCATTTTAATGTCCAACTCAGATCGTAATCCGGCTGCTTCTTTCTCGAGATTCGATATATCTTGACGTGCCTGCCTCCACAAACTTTCAGCTTCACTTGCACGTTCATTCGCAGCAGCAATAGCTACATTCGCTTTTTCAAGAGCTCGTTGATGTTGTTCAACGGATTGTTGTAAAGATTGTATTTGATTATGTGAATTTCCACGATTACGATTCAATTCCAAAGTTAACTCTGATAATTGACTTTTTGTCTCACGATGTTGTGATTCAGCGTTGGTGGCACGTGAATGAAGAGTTGCTAATTCTGCCAAGGCTCTTGCATGTGCTTCTTCAGCTTCTTCAGCACGTGAAGTAGCCATTCTTGCACGTTCTTCAGCAGCCTCTCGAGAATTTTTATCATAATTTGAATTTTGTTGTAATTGAATAAGTTGATTTTGAACTGCCTCTTTTTCAGTTAGAGCTCGTGTCAAACGCTTCTCCAACTCTGTTGCTCTTTCAACTTCAAGAATCTTAAGATCATGTTCTGATGAATTTGTTAATGCTGCAAGTTTTGCTTTGAAATAAGCAGCTTCTTGTAGAGCAGCAGTACGAACTCTTTCAGAATCTGTAATTTTTTGTGAAGCAATTTGAGCTTGATTTGCAATAGTTGCCTATATAAATATTAAAAAATATATATATATTAAAATGTGCAAATAATCTAAATTTTTTCTAATTTGTTACCAACATAAAATTATTATTATTTTTTTTTTAAATAATACCTTTGCTTTTCTTAATTCTTGCTTAATTTTTGTAATTGCTTCTATTATTTTATATTTTTCAGAACCAGATTCAGAAATATCCATCAAATTATCGATATCAATGCCATCAGGAACACCGACATCAGCATCTACTTCTGGTGTATATCCTGCTTTTCTCGCTAATGCTAATTCAGCTCTGAGCCACATCTCACGTTTCTTAAATGCAGCAATACTCATATCACGCTCTTGTAGTTCATTTATAAAATCGCCATTTTCAGAGTTCATTATACGTTCTAAAGAATGATCAACAGCATCAGATGTTGGAGAGCGAGTATCTGAATTCGAAGATGTTGGTGATGAAATAGAACTACCATCATGAGGTACTTGACTATGTGGTAATGTACTCGTGCTACTAAACGCTGAGGAAGATCCTTTGAGGTTAGGACTATGATTATGTAAAATTGGTGAAGGTGAACCAGGTTGAGGAGCAGGACGAGGATTAGTAAAATCACCGTGGCGATATCCATTATTTTGATATACATGTAAATTTGATTTATT